CGCTGCTTTTCCTCCCTTTTACTCCTCCACCTTCACCCCTTTTTTTAAATCTCTCTCTATGTGTGTGTGTGTGTATGTACATACACATCTATGCCTCTCTCCATCGATCGATCTATCCACACCCTTCTCTTATTTGTATGCTTACAGACACGATATGTTTCTGCTTGTTGAGTTACTTTCTCCGCCATCAGCTGGTGGCGCTTTGCCGTTTATGTTTGTTTGTGCTTTTTCTTTGAGAATTCTTGGCGCATGTCTTTTTTTTTATTTAGTTCTTTGACGCCTTTTTTTCTCTCTCCTTTTTTTTTTTTTTTCATTTTGTCACAACATGTTTTGAGAGAGTCTCCTTCAGCTGTTTTGTCAGTCTTACGTATTGTGTGGCGTTTGTCTCGCGTTTGTTTTTTTTTTTTTTTCTTGTGCTTTTATTTTTTATTTTTATCTTTATTCTTATTTTATTTTTGTTTTTTGTTTTTTTTACCTCCAACTTTGTATTTTGTTGTGACGGATTTGCGCCGGACATGATTTCTTATGTGTTTTGTTTTTTTCTGTGTTTTTTTCCCCTGTGTTTGTTTGCATGATCGATTCACTTTGGCTGTCGGTTTTGCTTCGATGCTGTGCTGGCATTTTCATGCCTCGTCTGCCCTTGGTGCGCTGTGAGGGTATCTTTCTTCTGGGCACGCTTCGTAGTGTGTTTTGCCAATTTCTCCGTTTTTTATTTATTGCTACTATTATTACTTTTGCTTCTGCCGTAAGAGCCTGGGGACGGCAGCACGCACCGGAATGGGGGCAAATACGTGAGAGAGGGATACTCGCTTATGCAGATGGGCTTCTGCGCTTCTTGGCCGCTCTGGTCCGTAGGGAGACCCACTTTTTATGGTGGCTCATCTGTGAAGGTGGCCCTCCCCAGCTGACGTTGACGCAATTAGCCGCGAATGGCCAACACGAGGCCCCAAGCTCAACAGACAATGTGGCACGATTCTTCGGTTTGTGGGATGGCAACTGGTTTTGTGCACGCCACACTGGCCGCAGTTTGAGACGTCTTCCCCCGCCCTTCCATTGTCGCGGTGCAGCCGATTGGGCAGACGACCTGCGTGTCACGGGCACCCACACGGCGGTGCTGGCGTAGAAGAAGGGTGTTGTTGCATGTGGCCGGGATTGCCAGGCAGCCATCGGCAACTCCGAGCCGGTGGGCGACCAACTACATTTTCCTCGGCGTGCACTCTGATCAGTTTTAGCACTCAGCGCCACTGACTGCTGTGTCTATTTCTTCTCTGCTGCGCTAGCCCCCTTGGCGGGCCTGGACGGTGGCTGCGATGGGGGTTGCCGCCTCTAATTCACTACGTGCCCCAGCAATTTGGGGCATCTATCTGACAGCGTACTTGTTTTTTTTTTCTGGTCTGCTTGTTTGCTTTACCTTCGCAGAGAGGGTGTAAAGGCGGGCGCGCAGGAAGGGGTGTGTGTGTCGCCCTATCGTCGTGACGGGGGTGAGGAAGACGCGCGAGGGCCCTTGCCGTGCATTTCTAGCAAGAAGGAAACAGGGTTCAAAAAAGGAGGGTTGAAGAAGGATGAGCAGCGGCGCAGCGGGGTCGGTAACTGCCAGGCACTTCGAGAGGATCGTGAGTCACCTTGGGAGCCGCGCTTTGGATCCTGCACCCCAAGGCAGGGAGTGTGGACCATTTATGCAGCGACTGTTGTTGACTGTCGAAGAGACGCGAGTCGATGGAGTTTTGGACGATATCTTTCAGCGCGTCCACGCCATTTTTGAGCCATTGGCGCAGATGAATGTCGCTACCGTGGACGATGTCGAGGTGCTGATAGCTGACGTCGCGTCGAGGGCAAGTTGTTTGGTGCGTGAAGAGGCCTTGCAGCCATCTGCTTCAACGACAATGACCTCCTCTGTTTCTCCCTCCTCCACGTCTCCGTCAGAGTCCCTGTCGCGTGTTCAGCAGTCCGTATGGTGTCGTACTGGACAGTTGTCCTTGCGACTGATAAGAGAGTCTACTAGTGGGTTTCACTCTGCGTGGAGTAGTGGCAGTAACGGCGAGGTGCAGCAGGTACCGGTGTTGCTGCAGCTAAGACTTCCATGGAGGCCTGAAGCGAGTGGCGGGCGGGGGCGCCCTGACGCGGGTGACGGAGGCTGTAATGATGCTAACAGCTGTGAGGGGGGAGAATCATCGATGGTGTCGGGCTTTACACTGCAGTGGGGAGCCGTCTTGCTTTTTTTGCAGTTTCTCTCAGATGCGGCTGGCTTGATGAGGCCCGTGTGTGATGAATGCACGGTTTCTCCTTCGGGAGACAGTCAACATCCGCTACCGCACATTGTCGCGGATACTGTCACAGTGATGATGGAACGCAATCACTTCTTATTACAGCAGGCACGTGACGCGACGAAAAATGGGATGGCTGCGGAAGTACTAACTGTCGCGGCGAATAATTTTGCGTGGATTCAGCAGCATTGTGGTGGGATAACAATGGCCAATGCATCGGAGGTGACGGAGCTCCTCACGCGGGGCCTCGCGGTCGTTCTGCAAGATATCGTCGACGGTTCTGTGGAGGAAATACGATGCGTGCTTCTCATGTACATTACGCCTTTTGGTGGAAGTAGTGGTAGAGAGCGGCGCGGCATGACTCACCGTGTTCTAGCCACACGCATAGCCGCGAGTTGTGGACTTTTTAATGGACTGGTGCATGTTCTACCGCGGCGTGAGATGATGACGCTCGTGCTGCAGCAGTCGCTGTGGCCTGTTGTTGAGCAACTGCTGGAGGGGGAAAAGCAAGCTGGCATTGAGCGGGGCGGTATCACGACAGACGTTTTAAGGAGGGTAGGTGATATGTTTCTGCCCACTGAGGCATTGCTGAAGCATGCTGGTGTGCCACACACTGAGACTGGCTTCGGTGGAGACGGCAGCGATACCACGCTGCCGCAGCGGCTTTGGGAGGCGTTGCAGGTTCTGGAAGCGGAGGAGGCCTTTGGAGCCGTGCTTTGCGAGCAAAGCCCTCCATTCCGCACACTCCGCCGCCTTCTCCCTGTAATGACTTCCTGAGCTGCCACGCAGACGCGCACGCGGGCAGCTTGTCACTTGCCTTGCGAAGCGACAACGCGCGCGGGAGAAGAGGCTTTTACCGCTTCACGCCTCTGTTGTTTTTTGTTTTTGCTTTCGTTTTGGCGTTGGATTTGCGACAAACATGGAGCTTTTCTTTTCCTTTCCTTTGGAGTATTTTTTTCAAAGCATTTGTTGCCCTTTTCCTCTACCAATACTTTTTGTTTTTGTTTTTAATTGTTTTTTTTTTGTTTTATACTACTGTTTCTACTGCTGTGAAGTGGACCATTTCATTACTGCGTGAAGAAGCAAGAGGAAATAAAGCAGCAACTTCCCTTGCTTGCACCTACACACGTGTTTGTGCTGCTTTGTCAATAGATAGAGTCCGCGAGGTTAAGCAGGGAGGGAACGGACGGGGCACACATACATCTGCGTATATTCCTGCAGTGACATAGATGGCGGGGGAGCACCACGACACCGCGGCGTCTGACGCTGAGGAAAATGACGCTGGGGCCAAATTTGCCTTTTCAGAGGGCACTGGAGCTCCGCTTGTCCAATTGCCCGCAGTGCAGGCTGTGGGCAACCGTGGCGCGGCGTGCAAGCAGCTCGAGGCCAGGTTAGAGTCGTTGCATAGACTGGTCTTTGGACGTGCTGGAAGGGCTGGCGAGCGGCGCCGGGCGTTGGAGGCATTTTGTGGCTTTCCAGAGGCGATGCGAGAGAGCATCTCGGAGCGGGTACACAAGCTGAAGAAGGACAAGCTGCGAGGGCTCATTCAAGCCCTTGGCATGCCTGTTCACATCTCTAATGCGCATGCGCAGGTGGCGGATGGTGTGACGGCGTTTTTAATGCAACCGCGGGTGGCCGAAGCGAAACTGCGGACACCCCGAAAAACGTCTCGACCACAAAAGAAGGCCGTAAAACGGGGGCGCGCGGCAGCGAGTGAAAGTGCTGAGCCCGACGTATCGCTAAAACGGAACGTTGGCCCGGCAAGGACGGAAGATGCAGAAGTCAAGGGAACGCCGAAGCGCACAAAGAAGGAAGTGCCCGTGGCGGAGAGAGCATCCTCGGCGCAGCCCCCGAGCGATGACGCCATTCGTGTTGCGGTGTACAAGCGGGTTCTCTCCACACCGCGGGAGGAGCGGAGCAAGCTCACCACCAAGGCACTGCGTTTGGAGCTGGAGCAGCTCTTTGGTGATCTGGAGGCACGCAAGGCGGTCATCAAGGAGTCGGCGTCGGAGTGTGTCTCAGCGTTGGTTGCAGCAGAGGAGGCGGCATCGGCAGTGGCGGCGGCAACTACTGTTTCTCTTTCTTCTGCCGCTACTGTTGGGACCACAGCGGCTGTTGTGGGTCGCAACAGTGGCGACCACACAGTGGAGCCTTCTCCCGCCCCGCATCCACCCCAAGTGGTGGATTCGTCCACGTTGGGTGACTCTCGCAGTCAGGCCCCACCGCCGCGGACACCAGATGGGTCCATCGCGCTGCATGCATCCGTGCCAACCTTTCCTGCCCACCCGTCCACAACAGTACCGGTCGTTTCCATCCCGCCTCACCTACCAGCAGGGGAACCTGTTTTGTGAGGCGTACAACGAAAGCATACACACACACACAACGGCAATAATGAGGGGAAATAAGGAAGGAAACCGGTGGAGAATGAGGGCAGTTTTTGATACCATACCACACCTTTTACACACACAACAAAAAAAAAAAAGAGAAGATAAGAAGAAGAAAAAACAAAAACCAAAACAAAACAGGGATGCGGCACCTGCAGGTGGATAACGGGATGCGGTGCGTTTTTTTGCTGATTCTTTCCGTAAGGGAGAAGTAATTTGGGGTGGGGTGGGGTTAGGAGAACGAACGCACTAAGAGAAACTAGTGCCAAACAAGGAGCGGCTGTATAGAAGCAAGGGGT